AAGGAAATGCTTGTTAAGGACTACTGTTTTTCACTCAGCTGGTGTGGCTTAGCGCTTGAGTGTCGACCTATGAACCAGGAGTTCACTGGTTCAATTCCCGGTCAGGGCACATGCCCAAGTTGCAGGCTGGATCCCCAGTGTGGGGTGTGCAGGAAGCAGCTAATCAATGATTCTCTCTCATCATTGATATCTCTATCTTTCTCTCCCTTCCTCTCTGAAATCAATAAAAATAAATAGATAAATAAATAAATAATAAAGACTTAAAATTAGTAAGTGCTTAGCTATTAACATATTTTCTAAATCTAAGAGTTTTTTGACAGTCTCTTTTCAGATTGACCCATGACCTTAAAAAGTCCTTTTTAGATATAGATATTTAACATACTGCATTTACCACGTTATAACTAAGCTTACTGATTTTAAAAAAACAATTTCAAATTCCTATAGCAGATTAGTAAGGCAGATCCCATAATGTGAGCATGCTCATAAGCTAACAGAGGTGGCTTTTCCTCCAGCGGAAAGGGGACAAAGAGCAACTCAAGTTATTCATATCAGTAAAGGGTTCTAGCTTCGGGGGCATAGGAATCATACTCTGGGCACAGTGTCATTCTTCCTAGCTATCTACACACCGGAGATAGTGACAACTCACTTTCTCCCCTTTAGAGGTAAAGAATCAGAGCTGTCTCAAACATTCACCATTTCAAACAGAAGACGAACAAGCTTCTCAGACTCTCCTCTGTATTTAGAAGTCAGCGTTGATGAAGAGACATTGAAGAATGTTGTCTTGCATTCTGTAGCTACTGCTTTAGCAAGGAGGGTCTTTCCCGTGCCAGGTGGGCCAACCATCAACACTCCCTGTTGGGAATGTAACAGCATAAATGAAGGATTTATCTGCCATTGTTCTAATTCACTAGAATTCCATTACTAAGGATCACTTTTCAACCAACTTACACATATTAAGACAAAAGACAAATAGAAAGGTAAACAGAAGTATACTTTATCACAAATTTACTTTGTCCATTACAAAAGTATAATAACAGCATTATTTAAAATATGTAACTCAGAACTGAGAAAAAATATAATCAATATTATAATACTGATATTACAATATCATATCCTACCACAGGTATTGTTATAGTATCTGGATATATTTTCTAATAGTCTTTTTGCTCAAATAAGTTATTTTTTTACATATTTATACTCAAAGAATGTTTATAATTTTTATCTTGCTTATCATTTAACATTTAAATCAATTAGCTGTCTCCTGCACACCTCCTACTGGAGATGCACCCCAACCAAGGTACATACCCTTGACCGGAATCAAACCCAGGACCCTTCAGTCCCCAGGCCGATGCTCTATCCACTGAGCCAAACCTATCAGGACAATATGTCTTATTTCTTAAGAAAAATATCTTCAATAGATGCAAATATGTCTTAATTTCTTAGGAATAGGATACAAGTTTGCAACATGACACATAAAATGGAGTGTTTTCGCATTAGGCAACTTGTTCACATTTGCAAATACAAGCTCATTCTAAATCTGCCATGTGTCCAACTATCGAAGATCATGTTGTACTTATTTATTATTCTGGGAACCTAGAAATAGCTTTTGGTCTAAACAAAATTCTGAATAACACAACACACTGTTTTTAATTTAAATTTTCTTTACCTACTCTACTACTTTCTCTCCTCACTTCACCTAAAACAGATAAATATTGACTTTCTTTAGCGATGTACTGGCCATTCACTTGGACTATGCCATAATAAACTTACTTTCCACGGTCTCCTGATGCCCTTAAAGAATTCTGGCATCCACATTGGTAACACCACAGCTTCCTTAAGCAACTTTTTAGCCTCTACCAAATCAGCAATATCATCCCTGAAAGAGAAGATATTTTATAAACCACCTTTTAGAGTATATATTTAACTCTATGGAGTCATTCTTGAGAACCCCTGGAAGCACGCGATTTGACATTGCTGACAGAATGCTCTCCTTTGGCTCTAGTGAACTAAGACACTGTGATGAGGCCCTGCCAACCAATCCACATAAAGAGCACAATCTGTACTTTCAGTTTTTGTCAGTGATGATTCTCAGCTTGGCGAATGAGCACACACGTCGACAGGCCCACTCAAGTATTAGGATGCCATCTCATTTTAAATTCTTGCTCTGACTGATGCTCATTCCATAAACTTCATGATTTAAAAACAATGAGCCCGTTTAAAAAAAACATAAAACAGAAAAAGGCATAAGAGCAGAGACAGGTTGTAATACTGCTGCTTTGCCCCCAACCCTATTAAGAGGTAGACACCAAGGATAAAGGGTACCATAGAAATTGCTATGAAGTTGCAACCACAAAATTACCACCACCACTCCACACACAGTATTTTTTGTAATATGTTTTTATTGGTTTTAGAGAGGAAGGGAGAGGGAGAGATAGAAACACCAATGATGAGAATCATCAATTGGCTGCCTCCTGCAACGTCCCCTACTGGGGATCTGCCCACAACCCAGGCATGTGCCCCAACCAGGAATTGAACGGTGACTCCTGATTTATGGGTTGAGGCTCAAACATTGAGCCACACCAGCCGGGCCACACATATTTTGAATGAAATTTTTGTGATCTTATTCCCATTCTGTAATTATTTTTCATCTAATAAAAAATTATTTTATTATTTATTTTATTTAAAAGTCTCAGATAAAAACTTGGTACAGCCTGAACTGGAGTTTTGCATTATATGTAACACTCCCATTGCATGAACTCTGGTTCTATTCCCAAGGACTGATCTTCAGGGCATGCCCACATCTGCTCCATTTCCTATCCCAAAAGCATCAACAGCACACCCATTTATTTAACTTACCATCGAACATTGGGATTCTGAGAAATTATATCTCTTTCCAAAGCTTCTACTAAGTCCTTATCATATCCAGTACTATCAAATTTATTGGTTTCTGGTTCTGTAACTGCGGCAGGTGATTTGTTCTACATTGGGACAAAAAAAAACAAGAGCTTTTGATTGACTCAAAAATTTTTATTTTGTTTCTGTGAGTCAGAAAAAAAGATTGGAGTCAAGTGATATTTTTTAAAAAGCTAATATAATAGTACAAATAATAAGGGCAGGATCAAAGACTAGAAGTCATCCTCTACATCAGAGTTTCATCCTCAATATTTAATTTTTATATAAAAAGTATGACAATGGTGTTAAAAACAAAATGATTATGCACATGAACTGATGAGAATAAAAAAATTAATACTGAGATTAACTGTGGTCACTAGTAAACATCAGATATGTGTGATAGTCGTCTCAAAGCTTCAGAGGAGATAAGGTTAGAGACAAATGGATTATTCAACTAAGACTATGGTTCAATCTTTAACCAGTCCTCACTAATGTTCCTTAAATATCCCCTTTCACTATTCCCACCCACCCTCCAAAAGAGACATCTCAGTCCTTAGGTGAGTGAGCATCCGCTCCCATCCTGTGATGTCAGTCATTAAGGCCATAGATCCAAAATATATACTAAAGTATTCCAGGGCATGATGGCAAACTCATAGGGCACTGAAAGATAATTAAAACAAAAATGTTTAAATTGTTGACAGTATTACAGATGCCCCCATTTGATATTTTAAATTTCTGAGGGAAGCATGGCAACATCTGTTGAATACTGGATGAACTATCAACTCAAAGCAGTTCAGTTTCTACATGAAGACTGCTAAATTCCTTTCAGAAATGCCGTATTTTAGAAAGCTAGGTTTCTGGCTATAACTGTGATAAGCTATATAATGGGAAAAATCAACGTGGAAGAGGAATAAGAATGTCCACTCTGCCTCCAAAGTCTGAGAAATCTACAGTGTCCAATAAGTGTTGATAGGACATAAACTAAGTTCTTTGAACCTAACTTCCTCATAAATAGTAGGTACTCTTTTTGTCCTAGGAGTGCTGTGAAAAAAATTATTGAGACACTCATGAATTTTATGAACCAAAAAATTTATGAAGCTCTGCATTAATGTAAATAATCATTTACTCGATCTGGCACTAGAATCATTATCCCATCTCCATAACATTTCATTGCCCATGACATGATGATTTGTCAATGGTGCTGTCTACAGTCAACATTAATGTCTAGACTTAATCCATATTTATGATATTTACAGGCTTACACTAGATGACTAAATAAATCTGTGCACAATTTACAGACTATTCAGTATCCAATACTAACATAAAAGGTATAAGGAAGGCATTGTTTAACATTTAAAAGAGGAGGTTACCTTTTCTTCTAAGTATTTATGAACTTGTTATTCACTCAGATCTACTAAGAATCTGTTCTGTGCTAGCAGCTGGGGGGCGGGGGGGCAGAAAGAAGATACTGTCCCTGACTACTGGAAAAGTACACTGTAAGCCCAGGAAGATACATATGGAAGACACTTTCTAGTTCTCACTTTCTTTTCTCCCACAGAACAGTGCTGAGGGAATGTTTGTAGCCAAAGCAAAACAAATTTAAGCTAGGCAGAAAGGAGAAACAATTCTATAGTAGGTCAGGAAAGAGAAGGTACGGAATTTCAAATTTTGACATTTTTAGTAGGATTTTATTGATTTAGCTGAACTAGTACAATTGTCTTTTAAGTATACACTTATGCAATAACTTGCTCTAAATTAACATACTAACAGCTGCCAGGAGGTAATAAAAGGCAGCAGAGAGATTTTTTAAAATGTAGACTCCTTTTTGATGCTCAAAATGAAGCTGAAGATGGACCAATTAACCAGGATATAAGTCCCTGGGTTTAAAATCAATTATTTTAAAAGCTGGCAAAATTATAAATGCAAAATCCAAATCCAATGTCTCAATTAAAAAAATTAATCTGGAGAGTGCCTGGAAGCTCTGTGTCCCTTCCCTCATTCCTCGCCCTGTGCATCTCTTCCATCCAGCTGCTCCTGAGCAGTATCCTTTGTAATAAACCAGCAATCAGTAAGTGAACTGTTTTCCTGAGTTCTGTGGTTCTCTAGTGAATTATCAGGCCCAAAGAGAGAGCTGCCATAATCTGGCAGTTTTAATGACTAAAAATTATTAAAATCTGTACAGACCTCATTTTTAAAGTTAAAACATAACTTTTTCATTTATGAAAATCAGTAACATTTACCTTTTCCTCTCTTCCTTTATTCTGTTCTTTCTTTTCCCGGCAACGCACAGCTTTCCCTCTGTCATTTTGAAGATTGTGTGCAGATGGACGGTGAACTCTGACAGTTGTACTTGGACGGTTACTGTGTGCTTTAGGGTCACTGTTTTGAGAAGATTGGCGTTTTCTAGGACCTGGTGAGGGTCTAATCAAGCACAACATCATTAAAATCATAATCAACCCCTGAAGTTGGTCCAAATAGAGATGAACACAAATAGTGTATAAAAGTCTATGAACTAAAGAATCCATGGCAATAACTGCATACAAGATAGGAGTGAATAAACTTTTTCCCCCCAAAAAGGCATGTCTTTCTTGAAAGGACTCTACTTACCTTCGTTCAACAGGTACAGGCAAGGACCAGACTTCTCCCTCAGAAGCTGGAAGCTCATGCTGTGCAGCTTTCAATGGAGAACTGTCTAATTTAAAGCTCTCTAGTGTTTTCATGATATCCTTAACATGTTTAGCTTCCACATTTATTTCCTGCCACACCTGATGGTTTCAAAGGAGAATATAGCTATTTAAATTTTTATAACTGATAAATCACTGTCAAGATTAAACTAGTGGCCCTGACCGGTTTGGCTCAGTGGATAGAACATCGGCCTACGGACTCAAGGGTCCCAGGTTCGATTCCGGTCAAGGGCATGTACCTTGGTTGCGGGCACATCCCCAGTAGGGGGTGTGCAGGAGGCAGCTGATTGATGTTTCTCTTTTATCGATGTTTCTAACTCTCTATCCCTTTCTTCCTCTCAGTAAAAAAAAAAAAAAAGATTAAACTAGTGCCTTTTATTAGAGATGTAGAAAACTCCATTTTTGCCCTGGCCAGTGTAGCTCAGTTGGTTGGAGCATCATTCAGTACACCAGAAAGTGGTGAGTTTAATTGCCAGTCAGGGCACATACCCAGTTTGCAGGTTTGACATCCGGTCAGGACACATGCAGAGGCAGTCGATCAATGTTTCTCTCTCTTTCTCTCTCTCCCTCCCTCCCTTCCTCTCTCTAAATATCAATTTTTTAAAAAGAAACCTCCATTTTGACATCAAATATTCAATAAATCACACCAAGATATTAAGATTTTAATAATGGTTCATTAATTCTTTGTTTTCAATTGCAAAATTAATTCTGATAAAATGAATTAAATATTCTGGCTAATTAAGCCATGTTACTGATTTATGGTTCTTATTCAAATTGCATAACAATTAAAAAGTTAGATGTAACTTTAAAGTTTGATAAAATATTATTTTTGTAAGCTGCACTTTGATGGGTTTTTAAATGCTACTTGACAATTTTTAAATGCTGATTAGAATCCACTAATTTCATAACTGACTAGTGGATTGCAATTTGGCTTCAGAAGATAAATGGCTTGATTCACATACAACCAAAATGTTTTTTATTTTTTTAAATATTTTTAAAATATATTTTATTGGTTTTACAGAGAGGAAGGGAGAAGGATAGAGAGTTAGAAACATCGATCAGCTGCCTCCTGCACACTCCCCACTGGGTCTGGGTCCGCAACCAAGGTACATGCCCTTGACCAGAATCGAACCCGGGACCCTTGAGTCCGCAGGCCGACGCTCTATCCACTGAGCCAAACCAGTCAGGGCTCCAAGATGTTTTTTAGAGGGAGGAAGAGAGAGGGAAAGGCAGAGAAACATCAGTGTGAGAGAAACATCAGTTAGTTGCCTCCTGTATATATATATATATGTATGAAACATTGAAATGAAGTTGATAATGTTTTGTCTTAAACCTAAAAAACTTAAGTATCTTTACAAAAACACTTAGACTTTTAAAGTAAAAGTCTCTGGCCTAAGAACAAAAGATCTTATAAGTCTTTCAGTGACAAGCAGAACTCCTTATGAAATATTTTCCCCTTCCAGTAACGTCAGAGATATGCAGAGGCAGATTTAGGAAAAGAGGTTACATTTTAAAAAGTAGGATATTTTCTCTTTTAAAGAAATTAAGGACAAATATGGAATACTATTTAAAAAAAGCAGTTCTGTAGAATACTATTCTACCTAGAAGACCAGCTCAAAAAGACTATTAATTTCTGTAACATTTCTTTCCTCTGTGACATAGTTGAACCTTATTATAAATGCCACCTTCAACTGTACCTATAAGTTCTACAGTTTCCACCTGTGAATTTCTATTGGTCTTCAGTGACTAATGTTCCTCAAATGGAATTCAAATATGGTCTGTTTTATCCTGTTCTATAGAAAATATGGTATCCATGAGATTCAGGTATCATCTGCAGTTTTGAAAATGGCTTAATAAAGACAAATCTAATTTTACCAGATAAAAACATGATCTAGGAAAAAAATTGAAAACCATTACTTAAAAAATTATTATATTCCAACAATTAAAATAATTAAATAGAGCTTATAATACTGATGGCGGTGAATATAGACTATTATTAATATAATAAATTAAGTTTCAAGTAATATTATATACAAATCCATGTAACAAATGATACACTCTCAATGTGTAACTGCCAAAAGCACTGATAACTGAAATCTCCTGAGTATTTAAACCATTTAAAAGATACATAAGTCATGATTCTCACCTGTTGCCATTTCTGCTGGAGGTATGTATCTTTGACTGAGTATAGATACTTGTTCATTTGGTCAAGAACTCCCTGATAATAGACCATCGCAGAGTCATAGTTTCCCAACAACGCATATTCACGAGCCAATTTTACATTCTCACTAATCATAAGAAGACTCATGCTCACATGTAAGCTAAACAAGAAAAGAAGAAACATTTCATATTATATGTCTCTTAAAAATAAGTACTACAAAGAATTTTTTAAAAGTATATTTTCTAGGGCTCCCTCCAGAAGCTCACAAGCACATACATACTGCACTTTCCACCTCTACACAGTTACTCATGCTATTTTCAATCCTTCAAAGAAATTCCTTAATTCCCAAAACCAAACGCTACCTATGTGTCAAAGCCCAGGTGAGATGGCAGTTGTCCCTGTATATCTACCTCTGAAATTCTCTGTTCAACATAAACCCTCCCCCTTCTAAAGTCCCCTGGCACTTTATTGGGAGATTCATCTCAAGACACTTGTCTACTTTGAATTATAGTTACTGATGTGTCTATTCTCTACTCGACCAAGTTATTTGTGAGTAGGATTAGCATCTGGAAGGTGTGAGGCTATATCCTCAGTGTATGGCAAATAAGTATTATTGAATATCTACAAAACAAATGCAGAATGTTAGATAGTTTTTGGAAGGCAATGTACTACAGTGGTCGGCAAACCGTGGCTCGCGAGCCACATGCGGCTCTTTGGCCCCTTGAGTGTGGCTCTTCCACAAAATACCACGTGCGGGCGTGCACGTACAGTGCAACTGAAACTTTATTACGTTAATTTTAGGGAATGTTGTAGAGTGAAAGAAGATGTAGTGTTTATCAGTGGTTGAGCATTGACCCATGAACCAGGAGGTCATGGTTCAATTCCTGGTCTGGGCACATGCCCGGGTTGCTGGCTCGATCCCCAGTGTGGGGTGTGCAGGAGGCAGCCAATAATGATTCTCTCTCATCATTGATGTTTCTCTCTCCCTCTCCCTCTCACTTTTTCTCTGAAATCAATTAAAAAATTATTTTTTAAAGAAGCAAGATTAATGGGAAATGTTGGTGGGTAGAAGAGCTAAAAACCAGCAATGCCATAATAGACAAGAAGGGGGTGGGTGCTCCTTAGGACAGAGATTAGAGTGAGATGGAATCACAACCACCCAGGGAGAAGTAGGGATGTCAAAATCACAGCAACCACCTCAGGCTTCTATTTTCTGCCAGTCTGATAGTTCTCATTCTTTAAACAATGTGCCTTTACCCAGTTAGACCTGATTAATACATGTCATGTATTATGTATTAGGATATGTATTAGGAACTTCAAACTCAAACATCTTTAATCTCAGCTATTAGGTTCAATTCCTAAATACAAGGCAAGACAGACACCAAAATAACTGCTGGCCCCTTTCCTGAAAACCAATCCTAGAAGAATAATAGTTACTTCACAGAAGGTTGATGGGTCCCAGAATTAAAGCATAAAATTCTGAAAAACAACTGAACTGACAGATGGTGATGGGGTCTTTGTGTGTGGGAGGCCCAAGGCAGCCCACAGGTAAACAGGGCCAGGTGAGAGTTTTTTAGCTGTGCCCTTTCTGACTTCCACTGTCCTGGCCAATCCTTGCTTACCCTTGCAAGTGCAAGCCCAGCACCCTTTTTTTTTTCCCTTAGTGCCTAGAAAAGGAAATTTTAATAAAAGACCTCCCCCTTTAAAAAGCTCCAGGCAGCCCTAGCCGGCTTGGCTCAGTGGATAGAGCATTGGCCTGCGGACTGAAGGGTCCCAGGTTTGATGATTCTCTCTCATCATTGATGTTTCTATCTCTCTCCTTCTCCCTTCCTCTCTGAAATCAATAAAGAAATATATTTATAAAAAATAAAAAGCTCTAGGCCAAGAGGGATTTTTTTTTTTTATGGGAGGGCTTTTACCTAACTTCTAAATAGAAAAGAAGGTAATTCCAATCACATAAAAGTTGATCCATAGCCAAAACCGGTTTGGCTCAGTGGATGGAGTGTCGGCCTGCGGACTGAAGGGTCCCGGGTTCGATTCCAGTCAAGGGCATGTACTTGGTTGCGGGCATATCCCCAATAGGAGATGTGCAGGAGGCAGCTGATCGATGTTTCTCTCTCATCTATGTTTCTGGCTCGCTATCTCTCTCCCTTCCTCTCTGTAAAAAATCAATAAAATATATTAAAAAAAAAAAGTTGATCCATAAAAAAAGAGAAGAACTGACTAACTCTTTTTTCTGAGGCTGGGATCACCTCAATTTCAAGATTTCAAAACTGAGTAAGAATACAAAGCCCATTTCAATTATGTATGAAGAAGTGGGAATCTATATACAGTGGGGCCTTGACTTACGAGTGTCCTGACGAACGAGTTTTTTGAGATACCATCTGTCTCTCCAAAGATTTTTTGCTTTGAGTTGACAGAGTAATTTGAGTTAACGAGCTCCTTAACGAACTCCTTAAAGTCTCGGAACGAATTAAACTCGGAAGTCAAGGCCCCACTGTATACCAAAAGGCTAATATGCAAAGTGTCCCCTCGGGAGTTCTATTGCTCGCTATGACATGCATTGACCACCAGGGGGTGGCACGGAACGAAGGAAGGCCCCAGTTGGCAGCCGGAAGGCCCCGATCAGCCTGATTGCTGGCCAGGCCTAGGGACCCTACCTGTTCATGAATTTCATGCACCGGGCCTCTAGTCCTAAATAAAATGTTAGCTAACAGTGTCAACTAACTCTTTTTCCCTCCTTCCTTTCCTCCCTCCTTCTCTTTCTCTTCCTCCCCTTCCCCTTCTCCGTGATCAGGAAGATTTATCACAGGAATGCAAGAAAAACTTAAGATCAGAAAATCCATCCTTACAATTCTTCACACTAATGGACAAAGGGACTTCACACAAGAATGGGTAGAGAGCATTAAGGACAATTCATAGAAGGGAAAACTCAAGCTGGCTAAGAAGTACAGATACTAGTAACAGATGAATGCAAATAAGAACAAGAAGACACCCCTTTTACATTTACCAGATTTAAAATAATAATAATAAATCCAGTAATATTAAGTATTTCCAAGGATTTGGGGGGGGGGCTGCACATATAATTTGTGGGTATAAACTGGTACAGTCATTTTGGAGAGCAATCTGGCAGTACTAAGGGGATTATGTATGCATACATCCGATGGCCCTGCAATCCCACTCTTCTGTAAATATTACAGAGAAAAAGTCTGACACAGATCCAGTAAGGGACTTGTTTGGGGATATTAATGACATGAACTGTTTGGGAAATCAAGGAGTTGGAGGCAATCTACCTAGGGAAATGGATACAAAAAAGTGGTGGATACATACAATGGAATACCACATAGCAGATGGAAGCAAATTTTACAAATAGCATCATGGATAGTTCATCAAAATACAAGGTTGGGCAGAAAAAAAATCTTAGACATAGACCAAGATGTAAATTCTAATACATTTTGTAAATTTAAAATAAGCTATATTTGCCCTGGCCAGGTGGCTCAGTTGGTTAAATAGTTGTCCCGAAAACCAAAGGGTTGCGGGTTCACTTCCCAGTCAGGGCACCTACCTGGGTTGAGAGTTTAATCCCCGGTCAGAGTGTGCCCAACAATATTTCTTTTTTCACATCGATATTTCTCTTTCTCTCTCCCCCTTCCTCTTTCTCTAAAATAAAAAATCCTCCAATGAGGATTTTAAAAAACACTATATTTACTTATATGTGCTATATAAAACACTTTTTTAAAGACTACATACACACCTGAGAGTATTTATATTAAGTATATTGAAGTGTCTGTGGAGGATAAGATAGGGAAATATGAGTGGAGAAAGAAGATGAAGAATAGGAAAGAAACAAAAAATAAATACAACAAAAGAAGAGCTTTCTATCCATTGATAATCACAGAGAGCCTCTGAAATGGTTCTCAAGGACCTCTGCCTCCCAGTATCCATACCCATGTGTACTCACCTCCCCTTGAATGTGAGCTTATAAAAAACAGAACATGCAAAATAACAGAATGTCATTTCTGAGATTAGACTGTGACTTCCGTTTTCCTCACTGTCTCTTGCTGGACCACTCTAAGGGAAACCAGTTACCTTGCTGAGAGCTGCCCAGTACAGAGGCTCTACATGGCAAAGAACTGAAGGAGGGCCCCAGGCCATCAGCCAGTGAGGAATCGAGGGCCTCATTCCAGTAGCCCAGAGGAACTGAATACTGCCAAGTACTACGTGCCCCGTGCAGAGAGGCTGGAAACGGATCCTCCCTGTTGAGCTTTGAGATGACTACAGCCCAGATACCTTGATTACAGCTCATGAATGACTCTAGATCAGAAGTACCCAGCTAAGCCAGGCCCAGAGCCTGACCAAAGAAACCATGAGTAATAGATGTCTGCTGTTTTAAATCATTAGGTTTAGGGTAATTTGCTATTCAGCTATGAAATGAGGTCTATAAGTAACTCAAGACTGGGCATCTGAGATCCAAAAGAAAAAGAAAAAAAAATCCCATGACCTAAATAACAACTCCCTGGAGTCACATAGGTAATATTCTATCTTAATAAAAGCTCCATGACCAGTGATCACGGCTTTCTGTTACCTCTGCTTGGCACACAGCAGATACTCAATTAATCTTTAAATGAATAAACAGTGCCAAGTTTTCGTCTTAACTATTAAAATTTCTTACCCTTGTCCAGCTCTTTACCCTCAGCACTTGCATTCCTTGACCTACCAGCGCTGTGATTGCCTCTGAAACTACATGCCCGACAGTGACACCTGGTCTCGGCAACATAGAGGCCAGCCGAGGCCAGCTGCATAGATCTGGATAAGCTTGTATATCAGGCTTCTCATGCCTTTCTCCTCTCCCTCCCTCTTCCCTTAATAGACTTTCTCCTGATCTTTCTTCCCAGTCCCCATTTAAAATAATAAAAATCTAAATTAAGTTGTTACGTATATATGTGAGGTCCTCATTTTTTTTTTTTTTTTTTTTAGGGCCATGAGTCAATGGCCTAAAACACACAAACGCACTCCAGGCCTTCTTTGAAGGTTCTCTGTGTTGTGAATATTTCCTTTTAGTCAGATAAAATTCCTTAGGAGCCAATGAATTGACTCTCACAAACAAAAAAGTAAAGTCAATCCAAGGCCACATTAACAAATGACCTGAAAAATTCTTGGTTATCAAAGTAACGACATGTTTACTGAAAACAGTATCAAAATATCCTTAGCTAACTAAATGTTAGACAAAAACAATTCTCCCTGTTCTTTTAGTAGTCTCTGAACCAAAGACATTATCCTTCTCAAATAAATGTCAGCACTGTAAATGTAAAATTCTCCAACTTTCAAGAATATATCCTTATCATTACTAAATTACACTAAGGAGGACAGAAACTGGGTCTAACGAGCACAATAACTGGTAATATATAAAGAAATTAATATATTTCAAGAAAAGCCTATAGACAAAAATTTAACCACCATCAACTGTAAACACTACCTACTGGTTCAATTAATTAAAAACACGTATAAAAATGAGATTGTCCAGCCCTACCTCGTTTGGCTCAGTTAATAGAGAGTCAGCCTGCAGACTGAAAGGTCCCAGGTTCAATTCGAGTCAAGGGCACATGCCCGGGATGCAGGCTTGATCCCCAGTGGCGGGGCGTGCAGAAGACAGCCAGTCAATGATTCTCTCTCCTCATTAATGTTTCTATCTCTCTCTCTCCCTTCCTCTCTGAAATCAATTTTAAAAAGTTTTAAGAAAATGAGATTGTCCAAAAATTGAAACTCTTGATTTACAGAGGTTATTAAAGAAAAAAATAACCTTAAGTGCTGATGCCTGCTTTACCTCACAGCAAACTTCCTTTCTATAAGTCTATCAGAACTAGCCAAAACCGGTTTGGCTCAGTGGATAGAGCGTCAGCCTACGGACTGAAAGGTCCCAGGTTCGATTCCCGTCAAGGGCATGTACCTGGGTTGCGGGCACATCCCCAGTGGGAGATGTGCAGGAGGCAGATGATCGATGTTTCTTCCTCATCGATGTTTCTAACTATCTCTCTCCCTTCCTCTCTGTAAAAAATCAATAAAAAATATATTAAAAAAAAAAGAACCGAACCACCCTTTTTCTTACATGACCTGAGTATTTATGATTCAGCTAATGGCTAAACTCATTTTTAAAAAACTAAATACAATACCCCATAAATTTTAATTCAAATAATAAAGTCAAATTTTTAAAAATTAAACACTCACTACAAAATTTCTAGCAAACTTAATTTTGATGTGGTATAGTGTCTCCACAAAGAGACTTAAAGTGTCTTTTTCTCCTCTAGGATTAGGGAAAAGAAGTGATCAAAGACACTGAAAAACAGGCAATAGATCCAAATATTTGAATTCAAAGATTTCTCTTCCAAAACAATAAACTCAGGGCCTTCCCTATTTCACATCTAAAAGGGATACCTTAATAATAAAGATCAGAGCAGAAATAAATGACTTAGAGGCTAAAAAAAAAAAACAATGTAAAAGATCAATAAAAAGTATACCTTATTCACTTAATCGTTAAAGGAATCTTAGACAGGGCTCCACTTATAGTGCAGTTTTTACCATAATGTGCATAGGTTATTCAAAAAATATTTACAGAGCACCTTCTGGGTTGCAAGGAATTTAACTGAAGACAAAAATAAGATGGAATGAGACTCTGAAATCCTTGCAGTTTAGTGAAAGGAATATCAATTTATTTATTCTAGGTGTATTTTTCCTTGCTTATTAGCACAGATTAAAAAATCAGCATCAATGTTAAAAATTAAAAAATCAGCATCAATGTTAAAAATATCTGCAAAACTGATGTCCTAAAATAAAAACAAAGTTCAATCATGTATATTCCTAAGGCATTTCAGTAAACCAAATGTATGTAACTTTAAAAGTGACAATACAATGTTAAGCAATTTTCAGTATGTTCATGTCTAGAATATGAAAGCAACAATAATGCTAATTGACAGTCAGTCACTGATGATTATGAATAAGCAATAAATGAGCAACCCATGACCAATTGCAGAATGACAACCATTTTCCTTACTTATAATCATCATATGATAAATACCCAGATGCACAAGCAAGTTCTTTGTATAAAAAAAGCAATGAAAAACAACCTGCTCAGAAAAAATATATATATTAAATGTACGTATTTTTTACATTTACCTTGAACAATGCAAAAATAAATCAGTGAACATGATTTAAATGTAATTTAAAAGCTACATCAACACTACAAGCATAATCTACTTACATCAACACTGACCATTTTGATCTGATACATTATATTTGTTTGTTAATCCTCACCTGGATTTTTTTCCATTGATTTTTTTCAAAGAGAGTTAAAGGGAGCGAGGGAGGGAGGGAGGGAAGAAGGAACATCTATATGAGAGACACACATCCAGTGGTTGCCTCCTGCATGCCCCCTAACTGGGTCCCAGAATTGAAATGATACACTATCATTTTTAACCAGTCAAGTAGCTAAGAAAAAAAAAAGAAGCAAACACTGTTGCACACAGAAATTCAACAGTTAATACACTAAATTCTACCAGATTCTCTAATCCTAGGGACCTTTCAGAACTGTGATACCAGGTTCGAAATGAGACGCAGAAACCACTGCAGACTCCCCAGCATGCCTAGTGCTGAAGCTATAAAAGATGGGCGCTTCTTGAATAACCACGGCCATCCATCGAGGAACTCGATGTCGCTCCTCATCGCCTAGGACTGTTGGGAAGTTGACGGGCACTGCCTTTTGCTTAAAGCCATAGCATGGGGCCACCAGTTACCAGGATCAATACAAGAAAAAGCATGTCGCTGCTCTTTCCGTGTGTGAGAACTCTCTGATTTCGCGGAGACAGGGCTGCGTTGACACCTGCAGGCATGACGGACACCGAGAGCCTTTCCTGACACTTTCGTGTTCCGGCCTCGTTACTGTGCGGCAGCCCGGGGTCTACGGCACATTCCCAAACTCTCGGGAAGGTTTCCGGCAGCGACCACCGGCCTGATTTCAAAGGGGGAGACGTGCACACGTCTTTCAGGAGAGCCGGATGTATTACTCCGCTGCTGGGATTCAGTAGCTGACATAAAATTGGCACTTGGCAGTTTAAAGAGAAAATTACCGTAGGTCCCATACGGGCTTGAGCTTATCCACCGTGAGGCACTTACCAATCCACGTTTACCTCGAATTCCGACGTCACATACGATACTATATGAACCCAATGTTTCGAGGGGTAACATTTTTAAAAGATGCCAACTCTAAACAAAAAGGGCCGTGAACTTCCCCGGCCCCGGGATAAACTAAACAAGCAACAACATCCGCAACCACGTCACACCAACCTATCGGGAGTTTTCCTAGGGTGGGGACTGCGGGGACGGGAGCGGGATGCGGGAGAGGACCCGTCAACAAGAAAACAGAAACATGTCCTCCTGGCCAGAAACTTTTCTAATGGCACCGGTCTGGGGACGGGGTCCTCGGGAGCGCCCCAAGTCCCTGCTGGACGGGAGGGATCAGGTGAGGGGACCGTCACCGAAGCCACAGGTGTCAACGACAACAGCAAGGACCTCAGACCTCCGCGCAGACCAGGGCTGGCTCCCAGCAGGATGCGCAGCGGCCTCGCACCCAGGCCCCGAGGTCCCTCACCGACTCTGCCACGGGGGCCTGGGGTCCCCACAGCCCCGGGCGAGCCGACACTCACCTGTGGAGGCCGAGGCTCCTCGGAAACCGCCCACCGACAGGTGGAGGGGCAGGGTGGAGCGGGGCTCCGGGCGAGGAACGAGGGCCCTGCCCAGCCCCAACCACCCAGCTCGGTGCTCACCGTCCCAGCAGTGCCGGGTCCAACCGCCGCCAGCCCCCTACGAAGCTTCAGCTCGCCAAGAATTTGAAGGCAAACTCGCCAGGGTCACTTCCGGTGCCGGGGGTGGCCTCGGCGACTTCGGCGCACGCGGGGCGACGCCCCGGGAGCGAGGACGCCGGGCGGCGTGCGCGCGCCGGGCGCGGAATGGGCGTGGCCAACGGAGGCGGGGAACGGGGGCGGGATGCGCCTGCGCAGTCCTCGTCGCCGCCTCCTGGCGGGGTTGGGATGACTGTTGGGATAGTAATGGCTTAAGCAAGTACCACGTCGCGTACCTCACATTTGCTCATTTTTCCTCCCATTTTCATCATATTCCTCAGAAAGTAAGAAGTCAAAGTATCTGTTTTTCGGGTGTCAAAGGTCATACAACTCGTTTATGACAAATTCTGTTTTAGAACCAAATACTCAGAATTTGGCTGGGGCGCTTGTCACGACATAACATGGATAACATAGGGAGTGGGTAAACAAATACTCGGACACGCTGCTGGCGGAATTTTATTCTCGTGATTTTTTTGGTCAGCGTTTTTAAATTATGATGGTTCACGATGTACAGATACTCACTGGACAGAACTGTGCTTCCTTCGATTTGTCTCCTGTTAAGATAGGTTTTCCTTTAGGAGTGCATGAAAATTAAAAGTCTAATTTTAGCCCTAGCTGGTTTGGCTCAGAGGATAGAGTGTTGACCTTCGGACTGAAGGGTCCCAGGTTCAATCCCGTCAAGGGCACATGACTGGGTTGCGGGTTCCATCCCCTGTAGGGAACGTTCAGGAGGCAGCTGATCAATGATTCTCTCTCATCATTGATGTTTCCATCCCTCTCCCTTACTCTTTGAAATTAATAAAAATATATATTTTTAAAAGTCTAATTTTAAAGCATCCCAGCAATTTAACAGACTTAAAGGCGATTCAGTCTGCCAATATTTATTGAGCAATTACTATGTGCCAGACACTGTTGTAGGAACGGGTATATAGTAGTCAACAAAATGCTGTACCTTGTGTTTAAAGTCTTATAAAATTCTCAACTAAGTAGAAAATAATAGTTTTGCTCTGGTGGATATGACCTCTATTGTAATGGAGCACAGTACACTATAATTAATATATCTTTTTGAAATAAAAAGCATTTCAGGGAGGTGCAAATCAGGGTATCAATCAAGTTAGTAACAAACAATGGGGAAGAAGATGATGAATTAGAGAAAAATGTACAAGATAAAAATAGCTGAATTTCATAATTGCATGGGAGATAGTCAAATCCTCCTTAAATTGATTTGCGAGTTAAACACGAATACATATTATACACTCAGGGTGAGTGAGGTGCAGCAGCGGTAACAAGTGGGTATATTTTTTGTTTTTTTTCTCTAATATTCTACAGTTGAGATTAGGCTGGACAGACAGCTGTGATTCACACAATCTTGCAGGTAACTGGGTTCTATTCATTTTGTTGATCTACCACCACTAGGGTGTTTTCCTAGTTTTAATGGTCAACATCAAGTCCCAACTCTGTTCTTGGTCCATACTGTGGGAAGAGGGAAAGAACAAGTGGAGGGCAAGCAATATCAACTTTAAGTGTACAAAATGGAATTTGCACATATCATGTCTGCTCATATCCCAATGGTGAAAACTTAGTACTGTGGCCACACCTAAGTACAAGGGAATATGAGAAACATGGGCTCTAGTGGGGCGGTTAAAACTTGGGACGGGGTGAGGGAGGGCTCTGTTAGTGAAAGGGGGAACAGAGCAGCCTTGTCATCAGTCAGCCTCTCTAGGGGATTAAGTACTCAGGAGAACCCCCCTTCCCACCAAATTCAACCCCTCTCCAGGAAAAACAACTCAAAGTCCCAACAGATTCTGAATCCAGCGAATCGTTTAGGAGCTCTAGGTGACTCTAAGGAAGGAAGGAAAGACTGAATACTAGGGAGGACAATAACAATGTTTCAAATACAAATTTGACATCCTCCCTCTACCCTTTACACACATAAGCAGATACATTGTTTTGCTTTGGCATAACAAGGTATAGTCACAACTTTAAACATGCCAAACTTTGGTCTCCACAGTAGTAAAACAAGTCATAAAAATAATGCAATTTGCATCAGCTATACAATGCTTATGGAGACCGAATATAATTTTACAAGGGAATGCAAACAAGAGGATAAAAAGAATGATGGTAATGCTTAAAAAAAACAACCCTAAATATCTCTGTATAAAGTTGATTTAAAATATAACAGTATATATGTTTTCTTGTAGGCAATTCATATAATGAAGGATTATAAAAACAGATTAGGCCTTGGCTGGGTGGCTCAGTTGGTTGGAGCATCATCCTATACACCAAAATGTTGAGGGTTCGATTCCCAGTTAGAGCACATGCCTACTTTTCAGATTCAGTCCCCTGTGGGGGTATCTAGGGAAGGCAACTGATTGATGTCTCTCTCGCAAGTCAATAAAAACATTTTTAAAAACCAGATTAGCCAACAACTTCACATTTTAAAAACTGGACTCAAATGATACTAAATGCAGAGATTAATAATTAAAAAGGTTTAAATTTGTGATCTAAAGGAAACCTTTAACATGGAATATTGTATTTATGAAGCCATTTTACTGGTTCATACTCTGTTCAGTTTGCCTTAACCTAACTAGGTATTAGTTTTACATATTTTTTAATTCCAAAGCATCAAATTTCTAATGATAAATTTTCTTAGAATAAAATGATTAAAATAAACTTTTGAATAAAAATATCAACATACTTAAGTGGCTTAAAAGTCAGCTTTCCACACATAATTGAAAGATTTGAATTTTGCTTTTTTTTATTATCCCAGCAAATGTTACACTAGATAAAATGATTGGGGAAATACAAATAGGTTCATTAAAAACAGGCTGATTATTCATATCTACTACATTCAAAAGTATGCAAAACAATTTATATTGCAAAGCTGTAATTCCTTTTCCTAACAAAGCTTTATTTTATAAAATTGTAGTGTTGTACTGATTCAATTTTAATACAAAATACTTATATACACAATACAATATAAAAGTAAACTGTGGTACAGTGCCTTCCACGAAGGGATATATTAAGGCGCTTTACAAATATACTAATAGGTTGACCCACATTACTTTTTTAGATTAAAATAGGCTATTGTTTCACTTTAAATACCAAATGGATTTTTATTTTTGTTTATTAAAGAAATTGTCTAAAGTACCTTAGGTAACAGCAGCAGCAATATCTAAAAATCCTCCCACTGTATTTTCTAGTTACTAACATATTATTAAGTCAGAATAAAACATTTCCACTCACAGTTTTGCACTTTGCAACAGCAGAAGGTAATCACTTTTTTAAAAAGTCAATCTCAAAGTGACTTCTTAGTCATACATTCTATAGTTTCTATTACAAATAAGGTAGAAAAGATACAGCAATAGGGCCCGCCTTAGGATGTCACTGAAAAATACATAACAGTATCTACAATTACATAATTATAGAACACTTTATAAATACTATTGATAGGCATAAAAGGGTAAGTATAACAAAAACAGTAAGATTTTAACGAGTGGGAAAATTTTTTAAAAAGAAAACATGTATAACCAATGTTTTCACTCCATTTCAATTGAAGGCATATAGAATTTTGTTCTCATCTTTTTGGTCAGGAAGCACCAGATTCTATACTGGAAGAACTGGATATAGTTTGGGAATAAGATAGCTAATCAGTATATCCAAACTATTAAAAGTACAGATACTAAAGGCTTGTACATGGCTTCGGATAAGCCCAAAAAGTTTATTCTGTCAGGAAGTTTCAAAAGAATATAAAATTTGTAGTGTCTGTTACATTTGAGAAATGGGGGCAAAACAGATTTTGTGGGGAAAGAGAGGAAGGAGACAGCACCTTAGTTTTTCTATTACAGAAATTTAACAAAGTTGGTTTTAGACTGTATTACACCATAGTAAAACCACTAAATGGAAATTTAAATGTGACTGAGAAAGCCCAAGAGCAAGAGGGATGTCTTAAAATTTTGAATAGTGAGCTAAAAATTCTTGAACTAGTTTGTTTTTATAGAACTAATCAAATGTTCCATGAAATGCAGACTGCCATCTCATAGTGCATTTTCTTACGACTGTCTGATTAGAAGTCCTTCGCAAGTATTTCTATATCAAGTCTGTAGAGCCAACCATGTCAATGCCCTTAAAAGGGTGTGTTTAAAATGTCTTAGTAAAAAAAAAAAAAAAGTCTCAGTGCTGTACCAGCAAGAGAGGCATTCATAGGGTTATGTTATCACATAGTACAGACCTTTTCCATCACAAATTATCAGTGTTTATACAAGATGTGCTAATCTGAACATTAACCAGTAAATTTAAAGCAAAGTTCTTAGTTTAATATATCAGTGTTCTTATAGGACAAAGGTCTTTAACCAAGAGTTGACATGTTTCAACATGTCCAGAGCCCCTAAAACTGCACACATTTTATTCATTATGTGTTGATGTCCATTATTCTGGGAAGAGAGTCCACAGCTTTCATCACATTTCAAAATGATCCCCAAAGACCAGTCCATTACACAGCGTGTTGTGCAGTGGTTTACAAGCTGAGCTCTGAGAGGGCTACCTATAGAAAGATGAGAACTGTGAGCTAATAAATCTTTGCCCTCCCCAGTTCAACTGGAATAGCTTTGACTTGATTTTACTTACGTATATGATTTCCATTAGCTTTCATATAAAAAAAGCTAAAAGTCTGAAAATCACTAAAAGTATGCCTCTTATCCACAATTACTGTTTTGATAAAATTCCTTATCAGTGGAGCTTAAGAAAAAGAAAATATAAATTTTACTAATAAGAATAGAACCCTTTTCCCTAAAAGATAAGTTAAGTATATTTTGGTATGAGAGCACAAGTCTCCTTGTAACCTAAGCCTATATAATAGGAATGTTGAAAACATATTATTTAACCTTAAAATAGGTTAGGAGGACTTGAATTTCTACTAGGACCACTATGTAACTTTCCCTAATTACTAATGGCCCCTAAATTAAGAGTTAAGTAATAATTTTTCATCAATCAATCGCCCATAGGGAAAATATTGCCAAATAGCCAGCTTTTTTTTTTGCCAATAAACAATCCATGTATGAAGCACTGTTCTGAAAGAGGAAACCTGCAACATTAGTGATGACATAATCAAAACTATCACAATATAGAAAAAATACGGTTCTAGTGAGTATCCATAAATAATTTCTAATCAGTTTCATATGAAACTGAAAATCTCTGCTTAGGATGGTGGAAATACTTCTTAAATTTCAAAGCAAAAATATGGAGAATCTTAGCTTTTAGTATAAGAAATTTTGATTCATGGCAGCTTTGTTCCCCTTTTAAAACTGGAAGCAGCACAAACAGCACATGTTGGAATTTTTAATGAATAGATGCAAATAGACATGTAGTAAATAAGAAGAAAAGAATAGCCCTCATACTTGATGTAAATATATATCCACAAATATAGTCAGGCTTCTTTTCTAGCAACATATTGATGTCTTTTTCCAAGATAACAATGGATTGACTGCAGAAGATATGCTCCTGTTAGTGGTTTTAATTTCAAGACCAAAAAGTCTTCTAAGAGTAGTAATTTAAGATGTACAGGAATCTCCAAAACATGATGTAATATATCAACCCAACTAAGAAAAAATTTCATATAAGGCAAAACACAAACCAAAAAAACCACCTGGAAGCAGCGTTAAAAATACCAAGATGTAAAGAAAAATGGCAGTGCTTTGTTTCCTTTAATGACAGTTATTCTTGAGAAACAAATGCTAGATTAAATATTCCAAGGTGGGAAGTAAATGAAGTTTATCTATTTTTCCCTTCTGATGAGCATCCTGTTTCAACCCTGTCACCCTGTATTTCTTAGTTCCAAGACATGAATTATACAAATTATCATTAGCCTAGGAACACTCACCACCATGATGGCTTCATTTCTATAGCTTATTTTGTACCAAAAACAAGGTTATGGGAGTGGGGAAGGGGGGGGGGGACTTTGTAAATGTGGGGTATATTTCTTATTTGGTTAAAGCAAAATAAAACTAAAACTGTCTTTCAAAAAATTTTCAAAAACTCTTGTCTTTTAAAATGATTTAGCATATGTACAAATAGATACCAGGCTTCTCCTTTTAAACAAAGCACACAATTTTTATTATTTATTATTTTCAGTACTTTAAGTACCAAGAACCGACTATAATATTCAATTCATAATTTACTTTATAACAATTTTTTTTCTAAATTACTGATTATAAAGGCTGGAATAAATTAACATTTTAAAAGGATTTTTCCATAATTTAGGAAAATAAAATATTGTGCACAGAGCACACACACACAGCTCTGTCACATTTGCATAATTTTACTCAGAGCCTCAAAACCCCTGCATTTCAGGCCTTTTTGCAAATCCTCATTACAGTTATTTCCTAGTGTGTTAAACATACACTAGATCACGATTTTTGATCTCTGAGCCTGTGTGCTGATCATCTTCATCTGACTGTTGCCCTGAGTCTTGCGAATTAATATATTCATATTCAATAGGCTTTGGATAATTATATGGGTAGCCATTGTCATCAAAAAACCTCCTAAAGGTAAATTCATAGAAAGCATGTTCAGGGTGCTTTCCATTTTTATACCATCCGTTGAGAGTGTCATTCACATTTTCTTCCTCTTTATCATCACTCCATAATTTGTCAGGATCAACAGGATCAAAATTTGATGTATCTGTTGGGTGTGTGATTTTAGGAATATATGAAGCAGGTTGTTGTCTCAGGTCACTGGAGAAATCAATTGTTTTAAAAAACGGATGAGCTTTTATTTCATCAGCACCATTCTTGCCTAAGCGATCTTCTGGTCCTCGGCAAAGTTTGATTATAAGATCAGAGGCTTCAGGACTCAATTTAGCTTGAGGAGGAATGTGAAGAGATGTTTGCCAGTTGATAACCTTTAAAAGATTTTTAAAAATTAGGAGGGAAAAGATAAATAAGAAATCCAAAATTTTCTCCAGATTTTATACCAAAAGTCTTACTTAACTATTTATAAAAATTTTTAAAAATATATTCTTATTGATTTCAGAGAGGAAAGTAGAACACAATGATGAAGGAGAATCCTCAGGGGGTCAAGCCTGCAACCTGGGCATGTGCCCTGACCAGGAATTGAACCCAGAACCCTTCAGCCTGCAGGCCAATGCTCTATTCCACTGAGCAAAACTGGCCAGGGCCTATTTGTAAAATTATACAATAAATTGCATGGTATTTAACCTTCCTTACCTTTAATAATGAATCATTGGTGGGAAATAACCTTTCCTCTCATTCCCTCCTTTTCAGGCAACTTCATATTAGAAGACTCACTGCAAGTTTTTGCACTACTTGTAGAAATGACTTTCTATTGTGCCTCCCCTGTTCTATATATTTACTTGTATCATAATATCTCTAATACTTTGTGGTACCTATTTATGCCTGTGCTTTTCTACTACAGTATAAAATTCCATTAGGCTATAGAGCATGTATTGTCTTTGTATTTCCTAGTACTTGGCAAATTGCCTGGCACATAATAGATGTTCAGTAAATACTTACTATGGTTTTGAAGAAACCAGAATGAGGAAGGAAGGAAGGAAATAAGGGAAGGAAGGAGGGAGAGATGTACGTAGGAGGAAGGAAGGGAAGAAAGGTAAATAAATATCTGTTAAATAGATGAACTGCATTCTTCCGTATTTATATAGGACTTTATCAACTAGTGAAGAAGGAAGAAAAATAAATCACCTCTTCTAGTATCCGTTAATCTTAAAGTTTTCTCCCAGGTTAGAAAAAGGAGATGCCTCAAGTAATAAAATGTCTTTGAATCTTTTTGAAAAAACAAAACAAAACAAAAAAATCATGATGTAGTAATAGTTACAGTATTATGCCTGGTTCCATAATCTACTTCAAATAAGGGAAATTAATATATACAAGCAGCTGGACAAGTTCTTCGATTTAAAGTTACATTCAGGATTATTTAGTTTAAGGTAAAAATAAAAAAAAATAAAAGACTAGACATAGCAAAAAAAAAAGATTCCCCATTAATTCAAAGATTGGTCAATAGAAATTAATGTAAACTGAAGCACAGAAAGAAAAAATGGAATAAAAAATAATAAAGCATGATACATGTAAGACAATTATCAAATGTCTACTATTTGTATGAATACTAAACTAAGTAGAGTCCCAGAAGGAGAGACGAAAGCAGAAGAAATCTTCAAAGAATAATAACGGAATTTTCCAAACTTGATGAAGGTCACCAAGCTACAATTCAAGAAACTTTATGAACTTCTGAATGAAAACATCACACGAGTATATAATGATGAAATTGCAGAAAACCAAGGTGACAGAGAAAAAGTCCTAAAAGCAGCCAGAGGGAGAAAGGCTCCAGTTCCGAATAAAATGTAATAGGTAAACTCTACCCTGTCTTTCGTACTGAATGCAGCTATACACCTGTGCAGAATGCATCGAGCAGCTACTTAGGTCCCTGCAGTAAAGAGTAACAGGCAGACTGAGGAAGATGATATGAATTTGAAGTACCAATGAAATGATGGTGAGTTTACCATTTTTTTCCATCTAGGATCCCTTGGTCTAGACTCAGGAGCCCAAACCCTGAAGATGTATAATACAGAGTGAGCTCTAGGAAAAGTCCTTCTAGTTCAGGCCCAGAGATTGGGAAAGGGGTTTCCTGGCCATAACAGAGGTGCAGTAAGTCACCTGAGCCAAAACCGGTTTGGCTCAGTGGATAGAGCATCGGCCTGCAGACTGAAGGGTCCCGGGTTCGATTCCGGTCAAGGGCATGTACCTGGGTTGCAGGCACATCCCCAGTGGGAGATGTGCTGGAGGCAGCTGATCGATGTTTCTCTCTCATCGATGTTTCTAACTCTCTATCTCTCTCCCTTCCTCTCTGTAAAAAATCAATAAAATATATTTTAAAAAAAAAAAAGAGTCACCTGAAACTTCCTCTTCAATTGGAAATTAAAGCATGTGGCCGCAAGAAGATAGATTGAATCCCTGGTGCTTTTTCTCTCGTGTGCTCTTGCTACCCTATCATGAGACGTGTGTGGCACAGGAGGATAAATAAAGTCTCACTTTCTAGTCAAGGAACTGAAAAAGGAAACCCAAAGGAAATGAAAATTACCAGGGATATGTCAGTGGAGGAGAAGATTATAAAGTTATTTACAAACAGCTGGGCTCACCTCCCAACTGTACCTGTATGGATCTAATCCTAAAGAACACATCAAAGTCTGAGAATTGAACTAAGTAGAAGACCACAGCTGCTTTGACAATGAAACTGACACTGGAGTCACAAGCCACAGAGGATGGTTAGTACTTGTGGACTGAATCCAACCAGGTTTAATGCCAAAACAATACCAACGTTCTCCATAACATTTAAACAAAACCCTGACTCTCATAACATAAAATGTCCTGAATAAAATCCAAAGTTACTAGGCATACAAGAACCACAAAAGTGTCAACCCAAATAATAAAAGAAAATCAACAGTGTTGAGATGACATAGATTTTAGAATTACCTGACAAAGACTTTAAAGTAGGCATTGTTAAAATGTTCTAAATAAGGATGAATACTCGTAGAATGAAATGAAAACAAAGTCTTAGCAAAGAAATTGAAGATATGAAGAGGTACTAAATATACATTTTAGAACTGGAGAATGCTATAACCAAAATAAAAAACTCAATGGATGGGCTCAATCAAATGGAGATGTCAGAGGAAAGTGAACTTAAAGACAGATTGATAGAAACTATGCAATCTGAACAAAGAGAATCAAGAGGTCAAAAACAGCCCTCAGTAATCTGTGGCGCTTTACCAAAGGTTTAACATTGGTGTCATTAGAGTTCCAAGGGGAAGAAGTCGTGATACAGAAATTCAAAAAGCTCAGTAAACACCAAACAGGATAAGCTTCAAGAAATCCATGCCCAGACATTCCATAATTACAACACTGACAGCAGCCAGTGAAATGATGCATTACTTAAGGGAACAATGATTTGAACTGAATGACTATAGATTTCTCATCAGAAACTATGGAGAACAAAAAGAAATGGCTATTTTAAAGTGCTGCTAGAACTGAAACCCAGACTTCCATACCAATGCCTTTTTTTTTCATTGCTTTCAGAGAGGAAGGGAGAGGAAGGGAGACAGAAACATCAATGATGACAGTCATTGACTGGCTGCCTCCTACACACCTGGCCTGCATCCTCTCGCAATCCAGGACCCCTCGGGGGATGTAGCAGTGCACCAAGCCGCAGGCGGCCAGGGAGGAGGTGGGCCGGGTGCCGCACAATTGTGCTCATCCCACTGCATCTGCCACTGCCTCTTGGTAGCGCTGCCATGGTGTCAGAGAGGCTCCCAATGCTGCAGCAGCTGCGTTCGCCAGTACAACCGTGAGCCCGGCTTCTGGCTGAGCCATGCACCCCCTGTGGGAGCACACTGACCACCAAGGGGCAACTCCTGTGTTGAGCCTCTGTCCCGATGGTCAGTGCGTGCCATAGCGACTGGTCAACCAGTGGTTCAGTCCTAAGGGTCACTTAGGCTTTTATATACATAGATAGTAAGTCCTAAAATCAAGTAGTTGATTCCTCTGCTGTTTTTTTGTTTGTTTTTAATTTATTTTATTGATTTTTCACAGAGAGGAAGGGAGAGGGACAGAGAGTCAGAAACATCAATGAGAGAGAAACATCAATCAGCTGCCTCCTGCACACCCCCTACTGGGCATGTGCCCGCAACCAAGGTACATGCCCTTGACCGGAATCAAACCTGGGACCCTTCAGTCTGCAGGGCGACGCTCTATCCACTGAGCCAAACCGGTCAGGGCATTTTTTTTTGTTTTTTTAAAAACTGTTTTCTTTGTCCAAGTTCTTATGTCCACCCATATAAATTTTAGAATCAGCTGATCTGTATCTGCAAAAATTCCTGTTGAAAATTTTTATTGCAATTGAGTTAAATATACAGATTTTTTTTTTTGCGGGGGGGGGGGGATTGATAGTTTTACTATGGTGAGTCTTCTAATCCATCAACACAGTCTGTATCTTCATTTATTAAGATTTTCCTTTCATCAATTTATAGCTTTCAGCACACAGTTCTTGTTCGTGTTCTATTAGATTCATACCTAAATATTTCATTTTGGGGAAGCTACTGCAAATGGTAGTTTTAAAATTTCAGTTTCTGATTGTTCCCTGATTAAACACAGAAAAACAATAGATTTTTATGTATTTTCTTTATATCCTACAATCTTGCCAAACTCATTAATTCTATGGTTTTTTCCTTTGATTCCCTGGGATTTTCTATATAGAAAATTGTGTTATCTTTTGAGTAGGGGAAATTTTTATTTCTTTCTAATCTATATGCCTTTTATTTCTTTTTGTTGCTGTGTAACACTGGCTAAGACTTCCTGAACTATGCTGAATAAGACTGGTGAGAACAGACAGCATTGCCTTTTTCTTTTGCTTAGAAAGCTTTCAGTTTTTCACACACTCACACACACACACACACACACACACACACATACATATAGATATTAAAATGAAAGTAAGATAAAGACACTTTTAGACAAACAAATCTAACACAAACCTGCGAGAATGCATTACCAGTATACCTATACTAAAAGAAATTCTAAAGGAAAATTTAAAAATAATATATTAAATGCAATGACAGAAGTAGTTACAACTTAGTAGGGAGTATTATAGAAAAGATGATATCTCAAGACACTCTCAAAGAATGATTAAAAATAATCAGAAAATTAAAAACAAAACCACAATCAAGAATTAACCAAGCTTCAGAAAGAGGGGAGGGCTGTGGAAGACAGGATAGAAAGGACACTACAAAGAGAATGGTGTGAACAAAGGTACAGAGGACAAATTTGGACTTTAACCATGAACAAAGGAACCACTAAGGATTTTTAATGGGACAGTTTATGGTAAAAATTGTGGGAAACTTCTCATTTAAGTGCCAGAGGTAGTTTCAAGTGGAGGTACAGTAGTCCCCTCTTATTTGTGGGGGATATGTTGCAAGACCCCCAGTGGGTGCATGAAACCACGGATAATACTGAACCCTACATATACTATGTTTTTTCCTATACATACATACCTTTTCTCTTACAGGAAGCACTTTACAGCTCCTCTTTGTTGTGTCTGAATTGCCAACATCACTACACTTTCATTTGGGGGCCATTATTAAGTAAAATAAAATATTATTTGAATGTAAGTACTGAGATACAACAGTTGCTCTGGTTACTGAAAAGGCTACTAAGTGACTAACAAGTGGGTAGCATATACAGCATGGATATATGCTACACAAAGGATAATTCATGTCCCAGATGGGACAAAAAAAGGACAGCACAAGATTTCATCATGCTCCTCAGTATGGGACACAATTTAAACCTTACCAATTGTTTGTTTCTAAAATTTCCCATTTAATATATTCTTACTATGGCTGACTCCAGGTAACTGAAACCTCTGAAAGTGAAACAGTGAATAAAAGGAACTACTTTATAGACATTTATTTGTGGTTTGGGGATAGAATGTGCATGGAAGGAAACAAAGCCATGAGCCAACAGGTAACAAAGAGTAAATTGAAATAAATCTTCAAAAGATACTAAAGAGCCCAGCCAGTGTGGCTCTGTGGTTGAGCATCAACATATGAACCAGGAGATCACAGTTCAATTCCCGGTCAGGGCACATGCCCAATAGGGGGCATACAGGAGGCAGCTGATTGATGATTTTCTCTCATTATTGATGTTTCTCTCTCTTTCTCTCCCTCTTCCTCTCTCTGAAATCAATAAAAACATTTTTTTAAAGGTACTAAAGATTTTGATAAGAATGAAATATGAATATAGTTTATAAATGAGGGAGAATATGAGCGTGATGAGGGGATGAAGGAAATTTGAATTCATACATAGACTCTTAGTGCGTTTCTATATTCTTTCAAGTTCATTCATTTAAAAAAAATTTTTAATTGATTTTGTTGAGAGTAAAAGGACAGAAAGAGAGAAAGACATCAATTTGTTGTTCCACTTATTTATGTAGTCATTGGTTGACTCTTGTATGTGCCCTGACCAGAGATTAGACCTGCTTGGCATATCAGGACAATGCTGTAACCAACTGAGCTACCTGGCCAGGGCCAAGTTCATTCTTTAATTCTAGAATAAGATGCTCTATGCAAAGGACTGATAAACATCTGTAACATAAAGGACTTTGTGACAATTCTTTTGGTATAGATTCTATACCTTACCTTCATTTGTGTTTCTAATGGTGTTTGTGCCAAAAAAGGAGGTTGTCCCACCAACATTTCAAAAAGAATTACACCGACACTCCACCAATCACATAACTGTGTATAGCCTAAAATAAGATACCAAAGTTATAGTTATTTATAAGCACTTTAATTAATATAATCGTAATTAATATTGTCACAAATTATTCTATAAAATTAAGTTTTATTATAAACCTGAACACTAAGCTATATTCCAATCAAGTTTCAGCTGGAGATTGTTTATAAAACAAAATTTTACCTGTTCGTAACAACACTTCAGGTGCAATATAATTGGGAGTCCCAACCAAAGAATGTGCTAGACATCGCTGGTGCTGGCGTGCAGCTCTCCGTTCTAGTGGCTTCAATCTATCTCCACATCGACAGTTAGAAGGGTCACCCCATTCATTACTGAAATCCATGCTATCTTGTCGTGAATGGTCACCTGTAAAGTAAAAAGAAATAAAAGCAGTAAGAACAAGAGTAAACCAAGAGTCTGTTTAATTTTTTGACATCATAGTTTATAGTTAACAACACTCTTCCCTTATGACAAGCTAAGATACAATGTATACCAAATCACTGATGGTATTTATTAATGACTGCAGCTTGTGATCCACAGTATTAATAGGACAAATGTTACACTAAGAAAAATTAGCCCAAGATTCAGAAATGTATTCAATGTTAAATGATGATAAAGTCAGGAGTAGGTAGGATTAAGAATTTGTTACTCAGACTGCTCCCTTGCTACTCTGGACAAAGTTCTAAACAAATTAGATCAGTGTTTCATTCATTCAACAAGTGACAATGATAAGAAAGACAGGGTTGTTCTCTCAGGCAGCTTCTCTGTAGGGAAGAAACACAACGAACAAATACATATGTAAGAAACAGGGCTTCTGGTCAAGATGGCGGCATAGGTAAATGGTACTCGTTGCCTCTCACAACCACATCAAAATTTATAACTAAAATACAGAACAGCCATCATTCAGAACCACCTGAAATCTACCTGAATGAAAGTCCTACCACTAGGGAATTAAAGAAGCAGCACATAAGACTGGTAGGAGGGGCAGAGATGTGAGGCAGAATCTCGGGAACCCTGCTGGTCCCACATCCACGTGTGGCGGTTTAAAATTGGGAGGGATATCTTAGCCGTAGAGGTTTCCCTGAGGACCATGGGGTCCGTGCCCCACACCATGTCGCCAGCCCAGGGTTCCAGTACCTGGAAGAGAAACTGCGACAACTTCTGGCTATAAAAACCAGCAGTGATTGTGGCTGAGTGACATGGAGGCTGCAGGAGTTCCAGGCAGTTCCTTTTAAAGGACATAGCATGGGACTTAGTCTCACTCCCTCCGAGCTCCAACACTGGAGCAGCAGCTTGAAAAGAACATGGGACATTAAGGAAGGAACTAACTTGTCTCAAATCAGGTTAAGAGATGGAAGGGCAGTTTTCTCCCAGACAGAAGTGCTCCTTTGCTCAATCCTCCCTACCACAGAGATGACAGGCTGCACCATATCTGAATCTCCATCATACTAGCTTACGCTTTTCGCCCCACCTGGTGATTCCCTGAGACCCCGCCTCTCCCTACTTGCAAGCTCATCCAAGGCATTTACAGTGGCTTTTCCATACAACTGGCCTCTCTTGCCTCATGCTTTGGACTTTCCTAAATCTCTCAAACAAACATCAGCTGGCATCAGCATGCCCAGTATCTCTCAATAAGTGGCCCCAGGCCCAGCACTAGCAGCAGCCTACCCTGGTTCACAGCTTGGCACCTCCAAGCTCAACACAAGTGGCAGCCATCTGTAGATTGCTTTGTAGCTCATGCTGGGTATCCCTGGGCATAGGCAGAGGCTGACTTTGCACCTCCTGGGAGGCCCCAGAGCCAGTGCACCCAATGGTCGACTTCAACCATGCCACATTACAACCCTACCTCCTCCACAAGTAACACATTCAAGGGGAGGACTCAGTGAGCACCACAGTTCCACTGAAGCAAGTCCTGTTCCATAGGGTTGGCTCCTGCACAGCAGCTGTTGCACTATCGTCACAGCTGGCCCACAGAACCGACTGGCCTGGGGGTAAATCCCTCCCAGCGACACCAACATCAATCAAAGCTCAACTACAATAGGGCAGTGCATGTAGCTCACACAGGGGCACATCTGGAGTGCCAGCTCAGGTGACTGGGGAGGCTAAGACATACTAGATTCTACCAAGTCTGGAGACATACCAGATTTACCTAATACAGAGAAAAAAAATACAGGGAAGGAGCCAAAATGCAGAGACAAAGAAACAGGAGAATGAAAGCACAGGAGAAATCTCCAGAAAAAAAAACTGAATGAAATGGAAGCAATAAAACTATCAGATACAGAATTCAAAACAATGGTTAAAAAAACGCTCAAGGAACTTATGAGAACTTCAAAGAACTTAGTAAGAATTTCAAAGCAATTAGTGAGAACAGCAACAACATAAAAAAGGACCAGACAGAAATGACATGTACACTAACTGAAATAAAGAATAATTTACAGGGGATCAACAGTAGAGGATGCCAAAATCAAATCAAGAGTTTGGTATATAAGGAAGCAAAAAACACCCAATGAGAACAGCAAAAAGAAAAAATCTCAAAATATGAAGATAGTGTAAGGAGCCTCTGGGATAACATCAAGTGTACCAACATTCACATCATGGGAATACCGGAAGAAGAAAGGGGGCAAGAAATAAAAAACCTGTTTTAAAAAATGACAGTAAATTTCCCTTACCTGGTGAAAGAAATAGACATACAAGTCCAGGAAACCAACTATCAGCTGGTTTCTCAACTGAAACTTCATAGGCCATAAGGGAGGCAAGAAATATTCAAAGTGATGGTTGCAAGGATCTACAACCAAGATTACTCTAGAAGGTCACAGGACTTTAGAACTGAAGGTCAGATAAAGACAAGGAAAAGCTAAAAGAGTTCATCACCACCAAACCAGTATTACATGGTATGTGAAAGGGTCTTCTTTAAGAAGAAATGAAATCAAAAATATGAAAAATGGCAATAAATGCTTATCAACAATTGAATCTAAAAATCAAAATAAATGGACAAGGAATCTGATGAACAAAATAAACTGATGAATAAAATAGAGCCAGAGGCATGGAACATGGAACAGACTGACGAATATCAGAGGGAAGCGGGGAGAGGAGCCAGGAAGAGATTAGCCAAAGAACTTATATGCATACATGCATTACCTATTGACCACAGACAATAGGGTGGTGAAGGCCTGGGAAGGGGCGGGAACTGGGTGGAGGGGAGCAATGGGGCAGAAAAAAGGAGGACATCTGTAATATTCTCAACAATAAAGGTTTAAAAATAAATTTTAAAAAGAAACATAGTGATGCATCCCATGTTGAGAATCAACTGGGGACAAATTGAAGCGACATATGTAAAAAACAAATGGGAATCAACCATTTAAAAACTAAGGCTATTAATGGGGGGGAGGGATGAGGACACATTTGTAATACCTTAACTAATAAAACAAAAAACAAACAAACAAAAAACAAAAAAAAAACTAGGGCTAGGCATTCTATACAGAAACAACAGTAACAGAGAAAAGACCAGTGTAATTATAGAAGAGGAGAATGGTAGGAAATGGAGTGGGAACCAGTGCACATGGATTTTGTAAGCAAAAGACATGGTTTGCCTTTTATTCCAAGTACAGTGAGAAGACATTGGAGAGTATGAAGCAAGAAAATGACAAGATTTGATTTATACTTAAAAAGATTATAAGGGAGGACAAAAGTGAAAAACCAGGTAAGAGGCTATTACCCCAAGTATACAGCTTAACATACAAGTTAAGCTTGGTGACTGGGGAGGCTGAGTCCAGTCACTTAAGGTAATAGTAGTGATGGAGAAAATTTCAGGATATATTTAGAGGTGGAGTAAGCAGGACTTATTGATGAATTACATGTAGAGGTTATAGGAAAAAAGAATCATGACAACTAGGTGTCATGATGATGGTGGTATAACTTACTAAACTGGGAAAAACTGGAGGGGGAAGGCTGGAGGGGGAACAAACAAATTAAGAGTTGTTCATTAGTAATGTTAAGTCTGAAAGGCCTATTAGAAATCCATGTGAAAGGGAGACACCATTTCTGGAGAGATTTGGAAGTCACTGACATAGAGATGGCATTTAAAACCATGATTAGATGATATCATCTAGAAAAATACATTTAAAATTAATCTAGCTGTAATCATCTGGGATGTTTGATTAAAACACAATTTCTATACTCTACCAGTAGACTGGAATAGAGCCTAAAAATCATATTTTTAAGAACCCCAAATAATTCAGGTGAATCTGGAAGACATTATATTACATTAAGCTGAACATTGAAGTAGGTTCAGGAGTCCCAGTTCTATCCATTTACTGTCAATCTACTCTTGTTCACAGAAGGCTAATATTACTTACCTCAGAGGATTGCTCTAAGCATTAAATTAAAATATATGTAAAGCATCTAGTAAGTATTCAACAAATGTCAGATCGACTTACACTTCCATTAGCACATGAAGGGATCTTGGCACTGTGGTGTAGCAGAAATAACATGGGCCCTGTAATCAGACAGCCTTGGTTCAAAGCCTAGCCCTTACACCTATTTTCTTGTGTGACCTTGGGCAAGTTACTTCATCTAATTCAGCCTTCGTTTCTTTATTCTGCCTTATAATGACGTTGTGAGGATTAGACAGAATCATGTAAATAATGTACATAATGTATTTAAGGTTAAATAGTTATGTAACAGTCATACAATGGAATCCTAAAAACAGTGAAAATAAATGTTACATGTAATTAACAGAGATGAACCTCAAACATACAAGTTAACATAGAGGAATACAAAGAGAATTATTACATTTAAATAAAGATTCCAGAGTAGGAAAAATGAAATAATATATATATTTTTAGGGATACATAGATATATGGTAAAAATGTAAAGAACTGATTACAAAGTTCTGAAACACTGGTTATACTTCCCTGGAGGAAAGAAGGTGAAATGATTATTTAAGGGTTTCAAAAGTACTGACTAGTTCTTAAGCTGAATGGTGGGAATAGGGCTTCATTTAAAAATTATTTTTAAAATGTCTGACATATTTCAAAATAACAAAACGTAAGATAGTTAACTAAAAAATGTTAATGATATTTGGAAATAATTGAAGCTAATACACTCTTTGTTTAAGTCTAAATGTCTGTAGGATGCATCCATGGTTATCCAACAGAGTCAAGATCTGACCCAGGACTTCTGTGTCCCATCCCATAATAATACCATCTTATATTTTATTGCAATAAATCATATTAATATATACAAATTTTATGATTTTACTCACCACTCTGGTAGTACTTAGAATCATGTGTCCATCTGAAGCCAGTGCAGAGGCCGAAGTCAGTCAATTTAATATGACCATCACGATCAATCAAAATGTTATCAGGTTTAATATCTCTATGAATAAAACCCATTTTATGAACACTTTCAACTGCACAGGTAAGTTCTGCTATGTAGAATCGTGCCAGATTTTCTGGAAAGATGCCCATTCTAATTAGTAGGCTCATCATATCACCCCCAGGAATGTAGTCCATTACAAAGTATAAATGGTCCTTATCTTGGAATGAATAATAGAGACGAACTACCCATTCATTGTCAGCTTCGGCCAGGATATCTCGCTCAGCTTTAACATGAGCAACCTGATTTCGAAGTAGAACATCTTTCTTTCGAAGAGTTTTTGTTGCATATAATGCCTTAGTATCTACTTTTCTTGCTAGACAGACTTCACCAAATGCTCCTATTCCTAGTGTCTTTATCTTCACAAACATAGACTTGTCCATTTTAGCCCTCTTAAGACGGATGTAATTAGACTCTTTTTGGCAAAGCATCTTTCTCATTTGATCCTGGGCTTCTTGAGATAATCCAACCTAGGTAAATAAGCTAAATGTTAAATGAAGAATTATTTTTTACACAAAATATTAAGAATAGCTTGGAAAAGTCAAGCATATATTTAAAGGTTAAGTGCATAATTTTTAATAAAGCATGTTAGAAATCTAGAATATATTTCAGAGAAAAATCAATTATCAAAAGTGCAAATTAAGGGATAGTTAAGAGAATATACAAAGTGAGTGTAAGATCCTATTGTGGAGAGCAAGATGATGATACCAATGGTCAGCTTTCTACTCCTAATGTACTCAAAAATGTTCCCAATGTGCAAAAACCAAACCTCTGTTCACATGCATCCTCATCTATCCTTTAATGCGTATTCATTCCAAATTACATGATTACTTTGCCTTCATTATATGCTTCTCTTTGAAAATATCTGGTCCTGAGATACTCTTCCTTCCATTTTACCCTTCATGAAAAGAAATTCTTTCAAGTTCATTTATTCTAAAAAATTGATGTATTAAGAACAGAAGAATATCTTCTCTAACCTAACTATTCATTAATAGTCTTTCCTTTATCTTTCTCAAAACATCAGAATTAAGGGTAGGACTTACAGCCATCGCTAACACAAAATGCAAAGAGTTTCCCCTACTTTATTTTTCTTTCCTAGTTTGTTTTAAACTAACTTGTGTGATTACCAGGTATCTTTAAGATCTTTTGGAACATTTCAAAAAATAATCAATGTGACTTATTAAGATACACAGGTAAAAACCAAAACCAACTTCTAACTAGATATGAAATATCTAGACTTAGAAGGAAAAGTTTATTTCTGGCTAGCTAATAACTAATGAAAAGTAAAGTTTAATTCAAGAAATGTAAGACTAATGAAAATATAGCAATCTCATGCTTCTGTTAGGATGTGTATTTGCATGCAAAATATTTTAAGAAGGGTGGCATGCCAGTAGTATAGAACTGTTTCTCTTAAAATCTTACTTGCCTACACAGTAATGGAGGCTACAGAAGTCAGCAAAGCTTCCAACACCATAAAAGTTTAAATCAGCTATTAGTGAAAGTGAAGAGGAAAAAGGAAAAATAAACTAAGAAAATACATACAGACAGACTTTAGTAAGAAATCTTAAGAGCTAAAATATGGATAAATCATATAATCATGGTATTTATCTAACAAAATTCAATTTATAGCAAGAATAACAACCCTGTGAAATCAGATTTAGAGAAATAATTTTAAAGAACGGCTTTCTTAGGTTGTGTGAGGAAATTTCATTACAAATTTAAGCCTCTTGGGCTTTGAACAATAGATGAAATATTAAGAGTCAAACCTTTGAACTGTAAACACATGATAAAAATAATAATAACAGTACCACTATATCTAATGAAGGCATCTATATGGAATCACAATAGAGATTAAATTTATTCTGATCTCCTTTTAAGTGGACTTTGATTTAATAATTTCAGCACATTTTTCCAGTACATTATAATAATGAAATTAGATGGGTAAATAACTGGAGGGAGATGTCTCTGACATTTTCAAATAAGACCAACCTGATGAATAAACCCACAAGTTCAAAATTACTAAGTAAAGGGGGGCATGGCAGGCTAGAAGGGCTCAATGGAGGAAAAAAGGAACATAATACTTTCAACAATAAAGATTTTTTTAAATTACTAATTAAAAATGAATTTTTCATAAATGTATTGAGACCCAGATCATTTTTAGCTCATTTTAAAAAGTTGTAAGGTAACATGTAAAACCTAAAAAATAACCCTTGTTTCAATTTCCAATTACACCTAAACCGTAAATTATATTTTTAACTTATTAGAAGAACTTTATTACAGGAATTCAAAGTAAATCTTGAAATACTAAAATGAAATGCTATAATTAAAATACTTTAATGTTTACTGACTTTTAAATAGCTGATAATATATTTAGCTACAAAAATAAAGAAAAATACTGGACCACAGTATTTTAAAATAAATGCCAAGGAAATAGATGATCAAGTATAAAAATGGACATTTTAAAAGGTTTTACCCGCATCATTTCATTCTCTAATTGTTTTTTACGATGTAGACGTTGCTGATGAGATTTGAGAACATTTTCTACATGTTGCTCCATAAAGAATTTAAATGCCTGAGGAGAGTAACTTTGAATACGAGATTCCCTTCGCTCTTCATCTTTCTTGTTTTTCCTAACGGTGATAGGTGAAGTTGTAATCTGTTTCTTTTCTTTATCCCCACTATCAACATTTTCATAACTTTTTTCACCCTCATCTTCCTTGGGCACAGTTGACTGATCCTCTTTGTTAGATTTATTGATTGAATCATATGGAGGAACAGATGGGTTTTGGTGTAGCAGATGTTTTGGATAAGGTGGTGGTGGACCTTGATAGTTTGGAGCTTCAGCAACAGGTGACATAACAGTCATATTTGAAGTGGTACCCTCAGAAAAAGGACTAGGTTGAACAGTTTGAATTGGCTGTGGTATCCAAGAAGGATGAGTAGGTGCTAAAGCAGTCTGTAGCTCTGGTTTTAACACACGTATGCTTTTCACGGGTTGCTGTATTGGAGCTGGTGTAATTGCAGTGACTGTTGTGGCTGAAGGCTGAGAGTTAGCAGAATGACTTGTTCTATTTCCTAGTGGGTTATTAAAAGAATTTGACCTCACTGGTATGTTAGGTTGCCATGTAGGGATTTCATGCCCAATGCTTGGGGATGACTGGGCTGGAGCTGAAGATGACTGAGGCCAAGTTGTTTGAAGTCCAGGAACACTAATGTTATAAAGTTCCATATTATGACTATTCCTATTTGGCACCATCATAGATTGAGGAATATTTCCATTTGTATATGATGAAGAAGCAGCAGATCCCCCTGTTTGTAAAGCAGAAGGGCTTTGTCCATTAGTTGGGGTCAGAGGATACGGAGGGGGTGGTTGCCGATTCACTGCACCAGTAGGGACATTTTGGTGTATCATAAAATCAGTTTGACCACTACCATTCTGAATTCCAGGTCTCCCCGGTGGGTAGTTAAATTTGTTAGAACTCTGCATGATGATTGGTTGTCTGCCAACAGGAACAGAACTAATGACTCTCTGTCCCTGATTAGGAGGATTCATTGGGGACATGTTCAAAGGTGGTGGAGGATAGCCCTCCTGCCAGGCTCCAGGTGGAACAGGAGAGATTCGAGAGATTACATATTCCATATTCCCAGAATAGCGCTTTGTTTGAGAGTTTGGTTCCCATGAGGGGGGAGGTGGAGTTGTACCTCGTGGAGGAGGAGTCTGGCCTCTTGGGGGTGGTGGAGGAGTGACACTCCTTACTTGAGGAGGTGGTGGGGGGTTCACTCTCTGTCCGTTGCTAGGGTGAGCTTGAGCAAATGCTGTGATACCAGATCCTGACAAAGGTTTTCCTACATCTGTTTGTGAGTTGGGACTTTCGGAACGATAGGCCACACTTTCTGCTAGTGGTGGGCCATGTCTCTGAGGAACTAAGGATTCTTTAGAACCTTTCCAGCTTTGTCTGCGGTTAACCGATTGTTGCACACTCCCTATGATCATAAAACAGAGGGGGAAAAACATTTTTAACTTCTTATTTTTGAAAAATTTAGCTTGGAATTCTGACACTACTAAATGATCATCCTCTTTCAAGAATCATACAAATCAGGGAGGCAAAGGGGGGAATATGGAGAACATCTGTAATAGAGTCAACAATAAAAAAAAAGAATTATAAAAATCAAATTTCAGTAAGTGGTTTTATTTTACCTTTTAAAATTTTATTTATTTTTGACTAGGCAATACATTCTCATAACTCAAAATTCAAAAGGTACAAAGGAATACCCACTTCTGTTCACAGCCAACCATTTTCCTTCCTTGAAGGTAACCAATCTCATCAAATATCTTAGGGATACACAAGTAAACAGTATACTTCTTATATATACTATAGTGCCTTGCCCTTTTCATTAAAAAACTGAAGATTCTGCCCTAGCCAATTTGGCTCAGTGGATAGAGCGTCGGCCTGTGAACTGAAAGGTCCCAGGTTCAATTCCAGTCAAGGGCACATGCCCGGGGTTGTGGGCTCGATCCCCAGTGGGGAGCTTGCAGAAGGCAGCCGATCAATGATTCTCTCTCATCATTGCTGTTTCTATCTCTCTCTCCCTCTTCCTTCCTCTCTGAAATCAATAAAAATACATTTAAAAAAAAATTAAAGATTCTGTATCAGTATATAAAGTGTTTCCTTACTTTTAAAAATGTTATCTATTTTTTTTACTGTATAGATAATCCCAAATTTATTTAATCAGTTCCTATATTGATGGATATTAAGGTTGTTTCTAGTCTGTTGCTTTACAAAAAAAAAAGGCAATGAAAAAATTTCACTTCAGCCTGGCAGGTTTGGCTCAGTGCACCAAGAGGTTGGTTGCTATAGCATATGTCCAGCAGGGGGCGTGCAGGAGGCAGCCAATCTATGTAGATGTTTCTCTCTCATCAATGTGTCTATCTCTCTCTCCTTCTCCCTTCCTCTGTCTAAAATCAATAAAAACACATTTATTAAAAAATTTCATTTTATGCCCTGCCGGTTTGGCTCAGTGGGTACAGCATGGGCCTGCAAACTGAAGGATCCTAGGTTCGATTTTGGTTGCGGGCTCAATCCCTAGTAGGGGACGTGCAGAAGACAGCCAATCAATGGTTCTCTCTCATCAATGTTTCTATCTCCTTTCCTCTCTAAAATCAATTTTAAAAAATAACATTAAAAATTTTTTCATTTTATAAAATACTAGAGTGGCATTAGTGAGCCAAATATATCCATTTGTAATTTTGTTAGATACAATAACTAATTTTAAATACATTTCAATATGGCTTTTAAAACAAACAAAAAACCCAGCAGGGCATTATTAGCTGAATAATACTAAATAAGGTATGGATTTTACAGAATCTCACTCTAATGGAATTTCCAAACAAATGAAGTAGACAAGAAAAAATACGTTACAAGAAAAAAGTACTTAAAATAGTCTGGTTACTTGGCAAAAGATATATATTTTATATATAAAGAGGGCTGTATAAAAACCAATAATATCAATTAATACATTCCAGAATAATTAAACATTTAAATATTAAAGATGAAAAAAACAAGTACTAGGAAAAAACAAGTGATCACTGAATAATATTGGGATACCTCTTTGGAAGGTCTTCCCAAGTATGACAAACGTAGAGAGCATACAGTAAAATACTAACAGATGTAAACATATAAAACACTTATCACCATTAAAACAAAATAAAACAAACAGAAACGTCCAAAATTGAAAGGTTATCATCATCCTGGGAGTAAACATATCTAATAACACATGAGAAAAAAATAGTAAATGTTCAGAATGTACAGTTTATTTCATCTAGGCTGGCCAGCATCTTGGGTCTATGACTTCAGGAAAAGTCATCACTCCGGGCAAGCTAGGTAAGTCCTCTGGCCACCTTCCTCAGATAACCAGCGGTTAAATATACCACATAACTCACACTGCTTTTACCAATAAAATGTAAGACACTGCAACCCTCAAGTAGACTACCATCCCTGTTATTCTGTTCCTCCCATAAAGCTCTGTGCTCTCCCACCTCCCACACCCTGCCACACAATTGCCCTCTAGACATGTTCTGCTTTACAACCACCAAATGCTCCTATATCCCTAACCTCTGCTCCAAGCTTTCCTCCCACTCCTTACAGCTGGTTATCTTCTGCTGACACTACTTTCCTTTCAACCCTTTGCAATTATGGTTTTCATTAAAAGTAAATTGGCTAAAATGTGGGATTCTACGTCTTTGCTCTCCAATTATCCTTCCACATCATCACTTTCCTTTATAATCTTTTTTTTTTTAAAAAAAAAAGCCAGCTCTTTAGAAATTCATGCCATCTAGGAGCCCAAGTTCATTTCTCTTAATGAACTCTTGCTTGCTCACCCTCAATCACCTGTAACTTTGGTCTACCCTACGCCTTGCCAACATTCTATAACATCCACATGGACAAATCATCCATAACCCTCACCTCTCAGTTTCTCCATTTCACCTCAAATATCATTCCCCAGATCACATTTCTAATTTTGACACCACCCATGTTTCTTTTTCAAAATCACTAATTTAAGGTTTATACTCTTAGACAACTTCTCTTTCTCATGTTTATTCCTACTGCAATGTTCTTCAACCTCATCAAGACCTATTAACCTTCTACATCAGACCTCCTCTTTCCTTTTTTAAAATATATTTTTATTGATTTCAGAGAAGAGAGAGGAAAAGAGAGAAAGAAACATCAATGATGAAAGAGAATCATCGATTGGCTGCCTCCTGCATGCCCCCAATAGGGATCAAGCCTGCAATCCTCACCCATCACTCTTAGCAGATGATCTGCTTTTTCTACTTCAGAGAAAACTTACTGGAAAGTAATTCCCTTATCTTACCTACATAATCTAAGCCCATTTGCCCATTAAAGCAAAAGGGTTGTTTCGCTTCCTTTGTAAGGCTAATAAGCTCTCATTCCATGCTTTCGATCCTTTCTTCTGGATTCTCAAGAATCTTACTTGATCCTTCTCTCTTGAATATTTAATATCTTTTAAAACATTTTTTTTTATTTCAGGGAGAGAGATAGAAATATCAATAATGAGAGGGAATCATTGATTGGCTGCCTCCTGCACACCCCCACTGGGGATTGAGCCCACAGTGGCTCAATCGAACTGTGGCCTCCTGATTCATAGGTTGATAGTGAACCACTGAGCCAGGTCAGTCAGGCTTAAATACTTAATTTCACCCTCTTAACTGGAATCTTGTAATTATCTTTTAAACTTGCCTAAGTCTTTGCCACTAAGAAAAATAATAATGAGGCTCTCCATCCACTCCAATATAGACCACTTTCTCAAAGTGTTATTTGGTGCTGGTTCACAAACTGATATTGACATGATAGGAAATAAGTATGAAAGTTGAGAATAAAAATTTAGAGACTTACAGAAATTTGACAAAATAATTTTATGTCTGTTAAAATGTGGTAATGAAATATCTGGACTTATGTTTGGCATGTCATTTAATATTTTAATTTTTCTAATAGTTCATTGGTAATGTATTTTATAAAATTACTAATTCATAATAAATTAAAAATTAACAAATAAAAAGATCTTCATCACAGTTAGGAAACACTATTCTTACTAATGTCCTCACTCTACCTTCATAGAAAAACTTCACAGAGAATCATTTATACTTGAGTTCTTTTTACTTCATATCCATTTATTACTCAACTCCCACCAATCTGAATTATGCTCCTATCACTAAACAAAAACAAGTTACTCCATGTCTTATGAGCTGCATTGTGCCCCCCTAAAATTCGGTAAGTCCTGGTAAGCCTTAATTAATATGACTGGGAACTTATGAGGAAATCTGGACACAGAGAAAGGCACAAGACATGTGCATGCAGAGGGACGACCATGTAAAGACCCAGTCAAGATGGTCATCTGCAAGCCATGGAAGGAGAAACCAAGTCTGCTGTCTCCTTGATCTCAGACTCTGGCCTCCAGAACAGTTAGAGAATATATGTTATTTAAGCCACCCAGTCTTTGGTATTGTTATAACAGTCCTAGCAAACTAATATACCATGTCATTAAAGCCAACAAGGTACTTTCTAGTTCTCACCTGTCACAAT